TGTTATGGATGTTAAATGAATTAAGTGATGGTATAAGAAATGATATGAAATATATATATATATGTGAAAACAAGTATATGTTATGAGATAAGACTTATGACTATAAGCTACGGGAAAGTGTTCTAGGTGTTTCGATGTATTATATGAAGTATATGATCTTATGTGAACAAGATATGATAAGTATGTTTATATGAATAAAGGTGATTGGATGAGAAATGATAAAAATTATATGAAAACATGACATATGTGACATGTAAATTATATGGAAATGATCTACATGTAAGTGAACTACGGGACTATGTGATCATATGAAAAGAAGCTATGTGATAAGTGATATGTGAAAGTGAATTACAAGTTTATGTGAATATTTGAAATGAAATAAATGATAACGCCCATGTTATGTGTCATGAGAGCTAGGGGTATAGTTGGCATGCCAAGAGTCGAGGGTCTACGCGGTTCTTAGGGACATATGTATATTCTTTGGAACCTGTGTGAAGTCTGGAAAGACACATACTTGATCCCTAGCATATGTATATGATTCTTACAGAATTCTATGTGGTCCTTATGGACATTATTATATGGCACTTCGGTGCAATTCTACGGGCACTTCGGTGCAATTCTACAGGCACTTCGGTGCAATTCTACGGGGCACTTCGGTGCATTTATACGAGCTGTGGTGACAGCATAGTGTACAACCTCTATAGACTCACATATCGATAGTTCTCACATATGTACATGGGCTAATCCAGAAAAATGAACAAATATAAGTTAGTGGTATGATAAATGCTATAGAAATGATATGATGTTGCGTGTGCATAGTGTTTGATTGAAATAGTATGTGATTATATGATAAACTGTTAATGATGAAGTATGTGTATGCATGTATTTACTGCAATTAATCTGATATGATTTTATACGATATGAAAAATGCATGAAATTGCTGTAACATGATAGAATAGAACATGCATGTATCAATATAGGTTTTAAAGTGCATTATAAGTTGTTATGCCTCACTAAGTCTTCGACTTAGCGTGTGATTGTTTCACACGTAGGTTTCGAGAAGAGTAAGGAGTGATGCGGGCAAGACATGTCAGTTTTCCTTACCAAAAGATCAGATCAGAAATATTTGACAAAGTATGTTTTTGGTTATGTATAAAGTGTTGGCATGTAATAAGTCATTAAGTACGAGCACTCTGATAAAGTCTGTATTTTGTTTTAAATAAAGTTTTAAATTTCTCGGGATTTTTCTTAAGAGTCAAGGTTTAAAAAGTCAATGTGACACTTCGGACTCGTATCCGGGTCGGATACGGGTTGGGGGTGTTACATTTAATGGTATCAGAGCTATGGTTTAGCCGATTCTCGGCATAAACCGAAGTCCAAAAATGTCATAAAAGGTGTACATGCCAACATAGATTGAAAAATTTCTGATCTGATAGTGTAAGGAATACGTAGTCTTGCTAATAAAATAAGAATAGTTTAATACAGTAGAAATCCGATCATGATAATTTCGAAGTAAGTGAAAGGTGATATTCCTGATTGTGATAGCTATTCACTTGCCCTGGCCAGGCAGAATGAAGAGCGGACACCTCAGGAAATGCCTAGTAAGATCAAAAGTTGATTTCAGAAAGCTGAAATCATATCTGAATAATGATAGAAAATTTTCATCGTTTGGAATCAGAAAAAAGATGTAGAGTAGTTTTGCTATTATGTGAATAAGATAGAATATGGTGAACGGGTGTTACCATAAGAATGTTAAAAAGATCTAATGACGTGATGATTATGTATAGAAAAACTCAAGGATAAGTGCATTAGTGACAAGCGTATAAGATGTATATGTCAGAGCTTATGAGTTTGGAACGAAGTGATAATATTGCGCATAAACAAGAGTATGTTTATGATAAGGGTTTGCAGTTAAGATGGAAAGAGTTAGCATTGGCTAACTAGAGTATGTGATAAAAATGTACTGGAATTATAAGATTATAAGATATTTTTAGGATATAATAACCAGATCTGCAATGGATCTGGATATAGTTGCATATTTGGATCATAGTAATGTGGTATAGTAAAGGAAAAGGAAGTAAGAATTGGTATATTTAAATAAAGCTGAGGATTGATAAGAAGAGTTTGAGAATATGTATATCGATGATCAGATTATAGGACACAGGAAGTCAGAATGTTGAGTTTGAATAAAAGAAATTTCGGGATATATGAGAATAGAGGGGAAATTGATAAGTTGAGTAAGTGAATTTTTTAAGATAATTTCGATTTGACAGGATGTATGTGTTTGGTTGATTAGGGTTTGTACCCTAGATTGAACATATATTATTGACTAGCTGTCAGAGTAAAAGGGATAGAATAATAAGATTGAAGGAAAAGATAAGTTGAGTTAATTGATTATGATGTGAATTTGAATATGGTTGTATATTCTGAGCAGATAGCTATGATGTAGAAACTGAGATAAGTAATTGCATGGAATCTTCAGGAAGAAAAATACAAGTATAAGAATGATAAAGAATGAAGTTATGTATAAGAAATGGGTTATTAAAGTAATGAAGATGCAATGAAGATTGGTACATAAAGATGAGCATAAGTAATAAGACAAGAGTATGTGAACATGAAAGGAAATATATGATTTATGTATAAGGAATAAAGAAATGAAAGGGATTGATTTAAAGGATCAGATACGATGACTATGGAAGCACAGAGGACAATTTTGATATAGAAATAAGACAAGTGTGCAAAGTGATGTGAAAATATTGTTTGACTCCTTAAAGTATAGATTTAATCACATTGAAGAAGATTTAAAGTTGTGTTTTGGTCAAATGATGACGAAATACAAGTTTGGTATGGTTATAAGGTAATTAAAGATTGATAAAGAATTTGATTGATTAAGGATTTTGAGTGATAAGAACTGATGCTATTGGTTATATGATAAGCAACAGAAGAGGAATGTATAAACGAAAAAAAAAAAGATAGTTGGAACTTAAGGATTGAAAAGTAAGTTTCTCATGATGACAAGAAAGAATAAGTAAAGGAAGCAACATAAGAACATTTGAAGATATGTTCTTACTAAGATGTTCAGTGAAAAAAAAAATCGAGGACGAATTTTCTTAAAAGGAGGGGAGATTTGTAACATCCGCAATACCGGGTTAGTGACCAAATTGTAAAGTTTCAGAATTTGGTGACTAAAGTAGAAGAATGAAAGAATTCAATGATTTTTTGAATATATATATATTGAAGGTTATTTGGTATTTATTAAAGGAAATTAAGGGTATTATTGTCATTTGACCAGAAAGATTTTTTATAATTTTTTTAAAGGGTAATAAGCACGGAGGAAGAAGAGTCCAGAGCATTCTTCAGTCTTCTTCCTCCTCTCAACCGTGAAGCTTGGTATAAGGTAAGTGGGTCTTTAGTTGGTTAATTCTTTCGTTTTAAAGCTTGTTTTGATTCTTGGGATATTAAGAAAGATTAAGGAAAGCTTTAAGTGGCTTAAACCTCAAAGATTAACAAGTTATGAGAAATTAAGAAAAATGAGTTTTTAAGTGAATTTTTGATATGGAATGAGTTAATAGATTGTGAAGTTGAATTTGACTTGTCAAGGATTAAATTAAGAGATATGAAGTGATAGAATGGGAATTAGAACACATTGAAAATTTGGTATGATTTTTGAATCTTATATGGAAGATAGAATTTTGAGTTTAAAGAAGTGATTATGGAGTAGAAATGAGTTTAAGTATGTGTATGAAAGTTAGGAATATTAAAGGGAATGAAGTATGATGTGTTGAGCTAAAAATGAAGGATTTTCGAGCTCAAAATATGATTTCTGGGCAAGGGGAATCGGTACCCATTCAAGGGGAACCGATACCCCTTCAAACGAACAAGAATTTCCAATATGTCATGGGGGAACCGATACCCCCATAGGGGGGAACCGATTCCCCCTAAAGGAAAATTGGGAATATGGGTTTAATAAGTTAGTTTAAGTTGCTAGTATCCAATTACAAGGTGTAGGTATCTAATGATGGTCTCGAAATATACGTTTATGTAGATTCTACGCATAAAGCAATTCCGGAACGTTTGGCAAGTAAGATCGATCAAGGGAAAGATAAGAGATTGGAATTGACTAGTGAGGCCAGGTGAGTGCATATTCGATAGTATATGATGTGCGATGGGAATACGACTTGCGATGAGTCTAGTTCCTGAAGTGTTACACATGAATGCATGATTAAAGACATGAGTTGAATATGCATGTATGTATGCTTGATTATATGGATCGATCTGTTCTTTTATGTGTTAGATGATAAAGTATAAGTAATTACATAAGAAAGGTTATGAATTAGATGAGATGTAAACTATGTGATCATAGTAAAATATAATTATATTATTATATGATAAGTGAAATAAGCTGGATAATATTGATCTATAGGATGAAGTGAGAATAGTACACTAACTAGGAGATTTGAACATAAATGATAAGATGAACATATAAGATAAGCTAGATGGGAAAGATTCATATGTTTAAATAAAGCTATAACACATAGGTTGAATGATAGAAATTTGTGAAGTTATATGAGAATATTATACGAGTTATATGAAATTGAATTAAGTAAACAGATTAGATTATACATAAAGAAATAATAGAAGTGAGATGTGTTTATAAGTCTGACAGAGATGAATATGAATATGAATTATAAGAGTGCTATATGATTTATATTAGGATAAATCTTGAGGATATATATATATATATATATATAGATATGAAATGAAAGGAAATGAGTTATATGAATACATAATTATGTGATGAAATGATGGATTACCTGAACATGTGAATATATATAGGTCTAAGAGAAGGCATAAGATTAAGATATAAGCAATGTGACTATAAGTATATATATGCTCTAAGTGATATGACTTATAGGTATTTCTATTAATATGTTACATAATATGTTATGGATGTTAAATGAATTAAGTGATGGTATAAGAAATGATATGAAATATATATATATATATATATATATATATATGTGAAAACAAGTATATGTTATGAGATAAGACTTATGACTATAAGCTACGGGAAAGTGTTCTAGGTGTTTCGATGTATTATATGAAGTATATGATCTTATGTGAACAAGATATGATAAGTATGTTTATATGAATAAAGGTGATTGGATGAGAAATGATAAAAATTATATGAAAACATGACATATGTGACATGTAAATTATATGGAAATGATCTACATGTAAGTGAACTACGGGACTATGTGATCATATGAAAAGAAGCTATGTGATAAGTGATATGTGAAAGTGAATTACAAGTTTATGTGAATATTTGAAATGAAATAAATGATAACGCCCATGTTATGTGTCATGAGAGCTAGGGGTATAGTTGGCATGCCAAGAGTCGAGGGTCTACGCGGTTCTTAGGGACATATGTATATTCTTTGGAACCTGTGTGAAGTCTGGAAAGACACATACTTGATCCCTAGCATATGTATATGATTCTTACAGAATTCTATGTGGTCCTTATGGACATTATTATATGGCACTTCGGTGCAATTCTACGGGCACTTCGGTGCAATTCTACGGGCACTTCGGTGCAATTCTACGGGGCACTTCGGTGCATTTATACGAGCTGTGGTGACAGCATAGTGCACAACCTCTATAGACTCACATATCGATAGTTCTCACATATGTACATGGGCTAATCCAGAAAAATGAACAAATATAAGTTAGTGGTATGATAAATGCTATAGAAATGATATGATGTTGCGTGTGCATAGTGTTTGATTGAAATAGTATGTGATTATATGATAAACTGTTAATGATGAAGTATGTGTATGCATGTATTTACTGTAATTAATCTGATATGATTTTATACGATATGAAAAATGCATGAAATTGCTGTAACATGATAGAATAGAACATGCATGTATCAATATAGGTTTTAAAGTGCATTATAAGTTGTTATGCCTCACTAAGTCTTCGACTTAGCGTGTGATTGTTTCACACGTAGGTTTCGAGAAGAGTAAGGAGTGATGCGGGCAAGACATGTCAGTTTTCCTTACCAAAAGATCAGATCAGAAATATTTGACAAAGTATGTTTTTGGTTATGTATAAAGTGTTGGCATGTAATAAGTCATTAAGTACGAGCACTCTGATAAAGTCTGTATTTTGTTTTAAATAAAGTTTTAAATTTCCCGGGATTTTTCTTAAGAGTCAAGGTTTAAAAAGTCAATGTGACACTTCGGACTCGTATCCGGGTCGGATACGGGTTGGGGGTGTTACACTTTCTCTTTGATTCTCTCTTGATTCTAGTTGCTTGATGTTTCTTGTTGTTGATCAATGACTTCTAAGCTTGCTTAAATACACCTTGAATCACTTCTGAACGTTGGGGATCATTAATGAAGATAATATAGTTGTTTTAGTGTGAAATCAATTAATAAAACAATTTGGAGCGTGGGGGGAATCGGTACCCATTAAGGGGAATCAGTTCCCTAAGTGTAAAATTCAAATATTTTGACCGTTACACAGGGGGGAATCGGTACCCCCTGGGGGGAATCGGTTCCCTCCGAGCATACTGGAATTCTCGGAGCTAAACCATTCAAGGGGGAATCGGTTCCCTCTGAGCAATCTGGAATTTTTTGCTTTGAGATGTTCGAAATATTTTGTAAAATCGTTTTGAAATTATTTTAAGATTAAAACTTAATTTTACACTTGAGTAAGGATTAAAAATGACATTTGAAAGATTTAGAGTAATATTTTGATATTCGAATAATTATATCGAATATACTTAGAAAACATTTTTGGAAAATCTTAAAATTCATTTAACTTAATTTGCTATATCGAAATATCAAAATGTTTTCAACAAAGGCTATGATATGCAGATTCTATGTAACACCCTCAACCCGTAACCGACCCGGATACGAGTCCGAGATGTCACATTGATTTTTTAAAACAATATTCTTAACAAAATAATAAAACATTTGGACTTTTATAACTAAAATACGATAATATACATAGTTTATACAAAGTTTATCAAAATGCTCAGAGCATACACAACTTAACCATTTGATTACATGCCAACCTTTATTTACATAACAAAATGACATACTGATTAAGTTGCTTCTGATCTGGTAGTTGCAAGAGTGATACTGTCCCAGCTGCTTAACCTTGTTCGTCTACTTTCTCGGATCCTACGCATGAAACACTCACACACTAAGTCATTGACTTAGTGAGGCAATATAATGATAACAATGAAATATAATGAAAATGCCAAAATGAGATGGAGTGCAATGAGAATATATATTTAATCAGTGCAATATCCATAACCATGTTTGTTGCACATAGGTTTATCAAATTAACATTCATAAGTTCATATTAATAAGTTCACTAGCGCATGATACCATATCGAGAACCTAAGGTATATGAGTATAGTGAGGTTGTACACTATGCTGTCACCATAGCTCATATAAATGCACCGAAGTGAAATGTAGATTTGCACCGAAATGCCACGTAGATTTGCACTGAAGTGCCACGTAGATTTGCATTGAAGTGCCATATAAGATGTCCCTAAGGACCATGTAGAAATTCCTTAAGAATCATATACATATGTTAAGGACCAAATATGTGTCTTAAAAGATCTCATACATGTTCCAAAGAATACATATATATCCTGAAGGACCGCGTAGACCCTCTACTCTTGGCATGCCAACTATACCTATAGTTCTCATCTATATAACATGGGCTTTTCTCAATTTACATAGTATATCACATAGACATATCATCTCCTTACCTTTATCACATAACTCATATAACTTTTCATACATATTCATTTAAAACATGTTACACAATGCATATGGTATGAATTCATATCAGGTTTCATAATATGAAATGAATCATGCATCAAAGTACTAAATCTAGACTTATCACAAGTCTAGAACTGAATATATTACTATAATCATGCTATGCATATGCACTCACCTAGATCTCTTTGCTTTTCCCTCGATCGTTCTTACTTCCCAAATGTTCTGGAATTGCTTTAGGCTCATAAATACATTTTAAGGTAATTATCAGATATCTACACCTTGTAATTTGATATTAATAACTTGAACGAATTCAATAGACCAATATTCACTTTTTCCTTTAGGGGGTATCGATACACTATAGGTGTATCGGTACACAAATTAGGTTCAAAATTTTCATGTATCGATGTCTGCCAGTGTGTATCGATACACGGGTATCGATACACTGTGTAACGATTCTTCAAAATTTGGTATTAGTGTATTAGTACCTATTCATAATGTACCGATACACCTACCCAGATTAGGCTGTTTTCACCCGATATTCATCAATACTTTAGCCAAATTTTCATGTATAAAATCCTTATTATGCTATCAAACTCATCTATAACTAATTTTTATCATTCCAACACTTTATAATCTCCCATAGTTCATCCAAATTCTTAAAACTAAGAATCTTACCACATTTTCCATGTTATCCAAACTAATTCTAACTCTTATAACTTCTTATTCTCATAGATGACAAGTCAAATTCAACTTCCAAATTCATTTAAACCCTCTTATTCAAATTTTCACTTAAATGCTTAGTATATTTAATCCTCCATAACTTGTTATTCTTTAAGTTTCCAAGTCCATTTTTCCTTTGGTATGGAGGATGTTACATTCTACATTTTAATATCAAGCCGCATAACATTCTTTTGGATGAGAACTTTGTACCCAAAGTGTCAGATTTTAGTCTTGCTAAATTATATTCGACGGATGTTAGTATCGTATCGCTAACTGCAGCTCGGGGTACGATAGGGTACATTACTCCCGAGTTGGTCTACAAAAGCATCAGTGGCATCTCGTATAAGGCCGATGTTTATAGCTTTGGGATGTTGTTACTCGAAATAGTTGGGAGGAGGAAGAATATGAAGTCAGTTGTTGAAGAATCGAGTCGAATATATTTCCCATCTTGGGTTTATGATCGGTATTCTCAAGGAGAAGATGTAGAATTGGAAGGTTTTACCGATGATGAAAAGATCATCGTGAGAAAGATAGTAATAACTGCTTTTTGGTGCATACAGATGAAGCCGACCAATCGCCCTTCGATGAGGAAAGTGTTGGAGATGCTCGAAGCCGATGTCAAACTTCTTCAATTACCTCCAAAGCCATTTCAACTTCCTTTTGACATATCTAGTGAGGATCAAACAAGCAACATTCCAAGTGAAGATCAAACATCACCTTTTCTTGATTCTGCAGATGAAATTAACTTGCAATTAATGTAAGTCGTCAAACTTGATTCAATGTGTATGACGACTAAACTCTTATTAACGGTCTCATTTCTCTAATAAGAAATAACAATGATAGTAGAAGCAACAACTAGATCATATTCATTCATTTGTTGGTCTAGAAACAATATAATAATATGGAGAGAAAACAAAGATCAAATAATGGGAAGCAACGGAAAAACAGAGAGAAAACAGAGGAGAGAGGGCAATTTCAGAAGACAAAACTTCAACCTTATAACATTGATCCAAATAAATATTTTTTTATTGGTCTAAGTAATTTCAACGTAGTATATATTAGAATAATTCATTTTTAAAAAAATCACTAATTTTAATCAAAATAAAAAATATCCTAAATTATAATAAATATTTACAATCATAATTGGATCTATTAAAACCTTAAGATCACATAAGGACTATACAAGAAAATATTAAAATCTAACCAAAAAAACTTGGACAAATATAGATACAAACAGATCTGATTGCAACGGCAAACGAACCACAAAAGTGGATCAAACTACTGAAAAGTGAAATGTTACAGACAAACCACAAATCAGACTCGAGTGAGATGAAAAACTATCCATAAACGCATAACGGGTATCCAAATCCAATATGAAGATCCAAAGCAAAGAAGATCAACAATATAACAAATAAGCGACATCTTGATCAGTTGTAACGATTTCTAATCAACCCTTATATAAGGATAAATGAAAACAACGACCAAACGATTGAAAAACGTGTCATAAAGACAAAAAAAAACGTACCGTATAGATAAACTTATTGGAAATAAAAAAAAAAAATAAAAAAACAATAAATGATGACTAAGGACTAGATTGGAAAACTGTGTATATATATTATTTTAGCAGAAAAAATTTTAAAATCATATATATTATTAAGAACAATTAAGATGTTTAGAACTCACAAAAAAATCATGTGTGTATATATATATTATTTTAACGGAAAAAATCTTTAAATTATACATAAACTTTAATTTAACATATAAGATGATAATCGAGTTTTCATTTTATACAAGATTTTAATTTTATTTGTTATATCCATAAAAAATTATTTGCTATATTAAGCTTTGAATGATAATGATGTCGTCTCAGTTGCATCTTACATCCTCAAATTATGACTCTTATTCTAAATTAGTTTCTAAACTTTTAAATATTCTAATTTCATCCTTAAATTATAAATTTTATTTTAAATTAGTCCTTAAACTTTTGAATATTTCATTTTCATCCTCAAACTGTAACCTTCATTTAAAATTAATTCTCAACCTTTTTGAACATTTCAATTTCATCTCAAATTATATGTATATACTAATCGCATCATTTGTTAATAAAATCGTTAGGCCAAGTTATACAATTATATGTTTGAGAGAAAAAATTAGTTTAAATTATGCTTTAAACTTATTACATATTTGGATGACTTTGGGAATGAAATTGAAAGATTCAAAAGTTTATGGATCAATTTAGAATGAGAATCATAGTTTGGGGATGAAATTGAAATGTTCAAAGGTTTAAGGATTAATTTAGAATGAAAGTCATAGTTTAAGGATGGAATGGAATATTCAAAAGTTTAAGGATAAATTTAAAGTAGGGATCATAGTCTGGGCTTCAACACATGGTATTTTTTACGAAGCTAGAAACAAATATTAACAATCTGATAACTTAGACTTTCGCGCACACTAAATTGGAAGCATATAAACTCAAAGAAATTAGATTCCAGCAATGGTAGAAGGCTTTACACTTGAAATTAAACTTGAATGTATATTATACATACAATCTAATTGTATATAGCTGTATCATATATCTCTTGCCACAAATTAGCACTAAAGCTATTTTCTGACTGAATTTCGTAACAATTCAAAGCAAAATCATTTCCAAACTGAACCAACTCATCCATCGATATCTCTTCAAACTGATCATCCACACACCAGTTCATGTCATCGCTAGGCGACGAAGGCATCATTTCCATTTCCGACCATTCGGAGCTACCATTGCGTTCAACGTCTCCTACGATACTGCAAGAACCAAGGTTTGCCATTCGAATCTCAGCTTCGAGAGATTCCATTAAACTATTGACTTGCTCCTCGTTGTAGTACTCCTCACAATGTGATTCCTCTAACAACGACATTAAAACAGCAGCATTCATTTCGGGGATTCCGATTTCTTCCATTGCTTTGCTTCCATCGATCAATCCTGGGTTTTCCTTCAACAAGAGAGCCATGATTTGCAGTATTTTTGGTGTAGAACAACAAAAATGTAAAAAAACAAACAAAGATAAGCTAAGACTTGAGAAAATGTTTCAAACTTGGAATGGTTCAATCAATGGAAGCTATAAACCTTCGTATAGGCCAAGTAATTGTTACTTGTTGAGACCCCATGGAACGTGCGGTCATGTGGTCATCCAATAACTAAATAGATGAACAGTTGGACAAATAATATTAATAATAATTGTTTGATAATGGATGGTAGTGCTAGGCAAATACGGGACAAAGAAAGAACATAAAATTATTTTAGAAAGGGTGACGAATCAAAGTTAAGAGTAATTAATTCCCAGCGAATGAAGTTAAGTACATCTTAAGTGATGGATTCCGATTAAGTTGGGAATAGAAAAGTCACCCATTCTGTGAAGCAACAACTGTCCAGGCAGGCATCGGTTGCAGCTTACATAACGAAACAATGAGAAGATATATCTACATAAAATAAAGTACCATTGCCAACCTGGGTATATTGGGACTGCTTCTACACTTGGTTTATTTTTAGTCTTTGAATCTTCACATCAATTAAAAAAAAATTGAAATCAATATGGTGAAGTTAACTAAACAAATTTAATTATCGATGTCGAAGTACACGCACGTTTAACCCAATAAGAAATGAATGAATAATGGTGCATTATTTTTTTTTTTTGAAATATTTAATGGTGCATTATTTTGTTGAAGAGAGAGACGTTTTCTAGATGGCTAAGATGTAGCTTTGTGGAGCGTGAGCGAAGACATAAAAGACAGAGGAAACAGCAAAGATGATCTGCTAAAAAAACTGCAGCAGATATCGTAAACCATAACCCACAATTGTCGAGATTCATGACCAAGTTCGTAGACCCTTGAATAATACTACATGAAAAGAGGTGAGTTTTTGTCACATGGTGATGTTGGGTGTTGAGGTGGAAATGGACAATCATATAAACAGATTAATCATCAGCGTTGCATTGCTCCATAATATTTATCATTCAACCATCTCTTTTAGGTTAAGGGACAATGAATGTATACATGTACTGCAAAATAAGTCTAATGCATGATATTTTGCTTAAGAATCAATCTAAAACTAAATGAAAAGAAACTAAGAATTATCATCGTAATGAGTACTCATAATATAATTTGGATAAATTAATCGATTATATAAATTTGGATATCTGATATATTAATCGATTAATGTAAATTTAGATATCGCAGAGATTCATTATCAAGTGGCCCTCTAAATTAAAGTTGTTCTATTCACAACGCCATGATTTGACTCTAGAACCTTATATAAAGCATGATATCACTAAATAAAATCTAGAATAGAAGTACAAAAGTTATCTATTACAAAATACAATCAAACTAATAACTGATAAATAAAATCTAGACTAGGAACTCACTCGTAGTGGAACTCAAACCTAAAATATTAAGATTTCCAAACCATACCATTGAGCCAAGATATCGTTGGTCAATTTGTCTAATTAATCAAATAGGCAAACTATATATTTAATCATCCAACTTTTAATGTATTTTTATTTTGATCACTCAATTTTTAAAATTTTTAATTTTATCACTAAACTTTCAAACTCCGCCCTTTTATGACACTTGGCGGTTAAAATTTTGATATCATTTAAATTTGTTGATAAGTGTACACACAAAAAACCCTAAAACATTTCTTTCAGACCTAAAACATTAGAGTATTTTCTTTTAAATATGAATAATGAAAAGGTTAAGAAGGAAAAGAAAAGCATACATCTCGGTTACACACGGATCAAATGACAGATTGCAAATTGGAACAAGATAAAAGCAATACTTTGATTTGATTTTTATCCATTTTGAGGAAAAGTAAACTAAGAATAAGAAAGAGGGCTGAAACAGAAATATTTTGGTACTAATTACATCACAAACAATGATCAATAGTGGTTGAACAAGGACGAAGAAGGGAGTCAACCTTAGGGAGGAAGGCGACTAAAAGTTTAGGACGATTAAAAATAAAAGCCCAAAATGCAGTGCTTTAGTGTTGGTGATACACACTGATGGTTCGAGTTGCAAAAAAAAAGAGTGAAATTAAAAGTACAGTTATAAAATAAAAAGTTTTGAAAGTTATGTGATTGAAACAGAAAAATCGTCAGATGACTAAACAGATAGTGTCCCCTAATTAAATTTAAATGAGAGTCGTATAAAATAGTTTTTTTTTTATGAAATTGGTAACAACATTTTGTATACATTTGAAGTTTTGTTAGATAAATTGGACCTTTATAACTGGGCTTCAACACGTGGCACTTTTTTCGAGGCTTCAACAAATATTAACAATCTGATAACTTTCTTTGATTTCAGCACACACTAAATTGGAAACATATAAACTCAAAGAAATTATATTGCAGATGGTAGAAGGCTTTACACTTGAATTAAACTTGAATGTATATTATACATGCAATCTAATTGTATATAGCTGTATCATATGTCTCTTGCCACAAATTAACACTAAAGCCATTTTCTGTCTGAATTTCGTAACAATTCAAAGCAAAATCATTTCCAAACTGAACCAACTCATCCATCGATATCTCTTCAAACTGATCATCCACACACCAGTTCATATCATCGCTCAGCGACGAAGGCACCATTTCCATTTCCGACCATTCGGAGCTGCCGTTGCGTTCAATGTCTCCTTCAATACTGCAGTTTGCCATTCGAATCCCAGCTTCTAGAGATTCCATGAAACTATTGATTTGCTCCTCGTTGTAGTACTCCTCACAATGTGATTCCTCTAACAACGACATTAGAATAGAAGCATCCATTTCAGGGATTCCGATTTCTTCCATTGCATTGCTTCCATCGATCAATCCTGGGTTTTCCTTCAACAAGAGAGCCATGATTTGCAGTGCTTTGGTGTAGAAGAACAAAAATGAAAATAACAAACAAAGATAAGCTAAGACCTGAGAAAAAGTTTCAAACTTGGAATGGTTTAATCAATGGAAGCTATAAACCTTTTTATAGGCCAAATAGTTGTAACTTGTTGAGACCCCATGGAACGTGCGGTCATGTGGTTATCCATTAATTTAATAGATAACCAATTGGACAAACAATAATAATAATTGATTAATGATGAATGGTTGTGCTAGATAAAGAAATAACATAAAATTATTTAAAGAAATGGTTGCAAATCAAAGTTGGACCGATTAATTTTCACCACATTAATTTAAGCGAAGATATTCCAATGAGGTTAGGAATAGAAAAGTCACCCACTTTGTCAAGCAACAACTTTCCAGTTAGACAACATCTATATCAAAGAAACATTAAGTACCATTGCCAACTTGGGGATATTGGGGTTGTTGCTCCACTAGCGTTATCCTTAGTTTTTGCATTTTGTTTTTAAAAATAAAAAATATAAATTGATATGACATTTATTTCATATTTTTAAAAAAAAAAAGATTACGAGAGATAAAATTAACTCTATAATAAGAGAAGTGGATGGACAATGCTGTAATATTTTATTCATGAAGAAAGATTTTCCACATAGGCAAGATCTTGCTTTGTGGGGTGTGACAATAGACAAAGGAAACAGCAAGGATGATTTATTTTTAAAAAAATGTAGCAGACAATTGTACACCATAACCCACCATTGACAAGATTCATTGCTAAGTTGGTAAACCCTTGAATAATACATGAAAGAAGTGAGTTTTTGTCACATGGTCATGTTGGGTGTTGAGGAGGAAAGGGGCAAGCATATAAAACTGTATTAAGCAACACTGCATTGGCCCATATTTTTTTATTACCCAACCAACACTTGGGTGCATGTGTTGCCACCACAAAAAAATGAAGCTGAACATCTCTTTTAGGTTAAGTGACAATGAATGGAACCACACCCATGTGCTCTGATTCTTCCTTTGAAGGACAAGTGGAAATGTCGGTTAAGATTTTTCTTTTTATATAAACCAATTCAAGGTATTTCATTAGTTTAAAATTAATATTAATTAAGATTACGATCTAGTGTAGGGTAAGTCACTAAACCCACTTTGGTATCATTATGGTTTTAGTTCTGTAATTTAAAAATTATAATATATCTGACTGAAACTCGTAAATGAATTCAAAATAAGTATAAATCCAAACTTCATACTTGTCCATCATGTGAAAACATGAAAAAACCTTGGTAACTTGAAAACAACTAACTTACAAAAGGTAAAAAAGAAAGACAACTAATGATTGAAAATGGTAGCTAACTTGCGAACAGCATCATGAACAAAGTAATAGCAGCCGTAAATAGAATTCTCAATGAAACAAAACCACCTCTTTCGCCAGTTAGGGTTGAGCTAGAGAACAGCCCCCAAAGTCCACAATACGTTGTAACAAAACTTTCAAAGAAAGAATTACGATCCATTGCATACCATTTTTCTTCAGCTTCACCTGATGGCAATGCCTTGTGGTTTTTCCCTGATGGTAGGTGCAGAAAGGAATGGATCGCGAACTGGCCTTTGTCTGGAACTCTGCCTGATAAATTGTTGTGCGCCACACTAAAGACTTCCAAGAAGTTAAGCTTGACCAACTCTGATGTGATTTTTCCACTTAGATTGTTGTAAGACAAATCCATACTCTCAATTTCAGAGAGATTCGAGAACGAACCCGAAATCTGGCTTGTCAGATGATTGTGGGATAAGTTGAGTCCATGAAGGGATGACAGCTTCCCAAGACTATTGAGGAATTTCACCTGTCAGATTGTTACATGACAAATCTAATCCAGACATGTTATTCAGAATGTTTCCTTTGTAAGAAAGGACACTATTTTTAGTGACAAAGTCTATCTTACACCCTTATTTGGCATCTATCTCAGAACTATTCCAGAAATTGCTAAAGTCAAAAAGTTCTTGAAGGAGATTGTGAACATCCACCGTTCTAGACTCATCAGAAAATGTGAATTCTTCAAAGAAATAATTTGAATCACTTCCAAATGGTAAATCCCTCAAGCAGCTTGGTATTGGACCAGAAAAGGAGTTGTTGGAAAGATCCAATATGCTTATGTCTGTTAAATTGACACAGTTGTCTTGTAATCAAGCCATCGAAAAGATTATTTCCTAACAAAAGAATTTGTAAGTGAAGAAGTTGACCAAGCTGGGAAGGAATGTTTCCAGACAATCTATTATCTCCAAGGTTTAACAAGAAAACAGGTGAATAACCTTGAAAATTCTCGACCAAGCAAGACGGTATTGGTCCCGAGAGCAAGTTATGAGAAATATCAATGACTTGCGCTTCATAGAATCCTTCACATGGAATTTGGCCTTCAAAAGAATTGTTCTGCAATAGAAGGAACTTAGCATCTATTCCATTAGGAATCTCACCAGCCATGTTGTTGCTAACATCTTAGAGTTTCTTGGAACTATAGAATTCCTTCTTTGTTAACAGACTTCCGGTGAACTTATTGTTCCCCAGTCTCAACACTTGTACTCCACTCAAGCTAAAGTGAGTGGAAAAAAATTCACCATTAAATTGTCGTTGTTTAACATCAACCAACTAGATCAATGCAATTTTCTACCAATTCCTGTAGAACTTCCCCTGATAAATTATTGAAGGATAAATCCAACAATGACAACTTCCTCATGACACCAACCGAGGATGGGAGATCGCCCTCGAACAAGTTACAGGATAAATTAAGATACTGTAAATTTGGAAGAAAGAGTCCAAGATCCATTGGAAGATGCCCTTCAATACGATTGTGTGATACATCCGTATAAACCATACCACTCATAGGATTCTCCGGAAGAGGGTCGAGATTCCGGATAAACGAATTATTCCAAAGGTTCAGAAACTTTAGATCAGTGTTATTTTCAGGCAACAAGAAAGGCAAGGCTCCGCTCAACCTATTGTGCGAGATATCAACCCATATTAACCGATGCTGGTTTAGCAAAAACCGAGGAGCATTCTTCATGTTACAATTCGAAAGCTGCAATGCCTTTTAGTTGAAACAACGGAATCCCAACTTGTTCATCATTATCAATCTGTAGTTTGTTTTCTCTGCTCCCAAGTACTATTACCTCCAGCTTGGAGTGATTGAATATCGAGCAAAAAGGGAACGAACCTTCAAATCATTACTGCTAATATCCATGAACTGAAGAAACGTTTGGCTTGGTATTGAATATGGGCTAATGGAGCCGCTGAAGAGGTTATGATGCAGATCAAGAATCTTAAGAGATGTCAAATTGCTTAGACAAGGAGGAAGAGTTCCTTCAAAACTATTATGAAAAATATCTAACGCTTGAAGTCTCCTCAATTCACACAACCCTGGCAGAAGGAGAAATTAAAATTGTTTCCATCATTTACAAGAAAAAACAATAATTTCAGCTCAACTTAGTTATACGATTACCTGGGACGGCAAAGAGCCATTGAAATCATTATTTGCCAAATACAGAGCTTTAAGATAGTATAGCTTCCCAATATTTTGAGGAGTACCCCCTTCCATTAAATTATAGCGTAAATACCTCCAATCTTCCCAATGTTATCAAATCTACGGACAAAACAAAGATAATGCAAGCTTCATAAGATAATGTAAGCAAAGATAGTAAAATCTGAGTAAAAATCCTATTCATAAATTAATTAAAAAATAGAAGGAATTTGCATGTTTACCTACCTTGATTCGACAGAGTGCCTCGCATAAAATTGTCGGAAAGGTCAAGAGACTTAAGCGACGGAAGTGATCCCATAAATTGTTGAAAATCAAAGTGCACCGAAAGCATGGTGCAAAGTCAAAATTGGTGCACCTAATGCACGAAAAAAAAGGTGCATAAATTGTCAAAATACACGGCAATTAGGTGAGCTGAAATTGTTGAAATGAGTAATGGTAAAATCTCAATTTTAGTCATTGTACTTTAGGGTATTTATAAGATTAGTCCTTAAGCTTCAACTATAAATACCCTAGCTCATTTAGCTTCAAAATCATCCCAAAGCATTCTAGTTTTCTTCCAATACTAGAGAATTTAGAGAGTTTATTAAGAGTTATTTTCTCATTTTTATCAAGAGAGAATTATCATTGTTTTCTCCTTGTTAGATTGAGAGAGGTTGTAATTCCTATTTTCTCATAGTGAATTTCTTCTACCGTTGCCCGTGGTTTTTATCCTATATTATTTAGGAGTTTTCCACGTAAATTTTGTGTCTCTTTTATCTTCATTTTTTATTTTTTCAAATTATTAGTTGCGATTTTGCTCTATTCGATAGCCTTCTTCCGCAACAATTAGTATCAAAGCCAGATTTGAGTGTGTAATATCTGCTTATTGTCTTTGTGGTTGCCACCACAAGGTGGATCCTCCAACATAAGAAAGTAAGATGGTATTACTCATTATTTGAAGGTTTCAGAGAACTATTCGCGATAGTGAAATAGTGGGAGCTATCTGTAATAGAAGTTATGACAACGAAATTTGATATTGAAAAATTCAATAGGAGAAATTTGTCATTGAGAAAATTGAAGATGAAGGCTATCTTGAGGAAAGACGGTTGTCTAGCAACTATCAGTGAAAGGCCGATAGATTTCACAGATGACAACAAATGGGTTGAAATGGACGGGAATGCTATGACAAACTTTCATCTAGCATTACCAGATGAAGTATTGTCAAGCATCGAGGAGAAGAAGACAGCTAAGGAGATATGAGATCATCTCACCAAACTGTACGAAGCCACATCACTGCACAATAAAATTTTCCTTAAGAGAAAATTGTACACTCTCCGTATGCCAGAATCTACTTCAGTGATGGAGCACTTAAATACACTGAACACTTTATTTTCTCAGCTTACATCCTTAAGCTGTAAAATAGGAGAACAAGAACGTGTTGAACTTCTACTTCAAAGTCTACCGGATTTGTATGATCAACTCATCATCAACTTGACAAATAGTAATGTCACCAGTCTAGTCTTCGATGACGTTGCAACTATTGTTCTACAAGAAAAAAATCGGCGCAAGAACAAAGAAGACATACAAGTAAATCTGGAACAAGCAGAAGCGTTGACAACGATGAGAGGGAGATCAACAGAACGTGGCCAAAGCAGTAGACACAAACATGGTAGATCGAAGTCGATGAGCAAGAAGAATTTAAAGTGTTATAACTGTAGAAAGAAGGGTCACTTGAAGAAGGATTGTTGGAGTCTAAATAAAAACTTCAATCCACAAGGCAATACCACAAACACTTCAGATGATGGAGATGCTCTATGCTGTGAAGCGTCAACCACCATGGAAGGTAGAAAAAGATTTACAGATATATGGCTCATTGATTCGGGAGCAACATATCACATGACCTCAAGAAGAGAATGGTTCCATCATTATGAACCTGTCTCAGGAGGATCTGTGTATAGTTGCAATGATCATGCCTTAGATATCGTTGGCGTGGGAACCATCAAATTGAAGATGTATAATGGAACAATTAAAGTTGTTCGAGATGTGCGGCACGTGAAAGGCCTGAAGAAAAATTTATTATCCTACGGATTGTTGGATAATAATGCAAGCAAGATTGAAACACAAAAAGGAATCATGAAGGTGTTCCGTGGAGCGCTTATGGTGTTGGAAGGCGAAAAGATAGCAACAAACTTGTACATGCTGAAGGGAGAAACTTTGCTAGAAGCAGAAGCCTCTGTTGCCTCATGTAGTTCAGATTCTGTAATGCTATGGCATCAGAAACTTGGACACATGTCAGAACAAGGGATGGAAGTCTTTGTGGAGAAAAAGTTACTTCCAGACTTAACAAAGGTATCACTTACTTTGTGTGAGCATTGCATAACAAGTAAGCAGCATCGGTTGAAATTCAACACATCAAATTCTAGAGGCAAAAGTGTTCTGGAATTGGTTCACTCTGACGTATGGCAAGCACCAGTTACATCCCTAGGCGAAGCAAAATATTTTGTCTCATTTATTGATGACTACTCCAGGAGATGTTGGGTGTACCCTAATAAGAAGAACTCATATGTGTTTTCCACTTTCAAAAACTTCAAAGCACGGGTGAAACTTGATTCTGGAAATAAGATCAAGTGTTTCAGAACAGTTAATGGAGGAGAATACACAAGTGAAGAATTTGATGATTTTTTCAGGAAAGAAGGCATCAAAAGACAGTTCACATTGGCGAACACTCCTCGACAAAATAGAGTGGCAGAGCTGATGAACAAAACCTTGTTAGAAAGAACAAGAGCAATGTTGAGGGATGCAGGCCTAGAAAAATCATTCTGGGCAAAAGCAGTCAATACCGCCTATTATTTGGTGAATCGAGCTCCATCAACTGCAATAGAGTCGAAGACACCAATGGAGATGTGGACTGGTAAACCAGTTGATTATTCAAACCTCCATGTATTTAGAAGAATTGTGTACGTGATATACAACTACCAAGAAATTTCAAAGTTGGATCCAAAATCCAGAAAATGCAAATTCTTGGGGTATTGTGATGGAGTAAAGGGGTATCGTTTGTGGGATCTCACTGCCTACAAAGTGATCATCAGTAGGGATGTTATCTTTGCAGAGGATAAACTACAAAGAAAAGAAGACGATGATAGCGCTGAAAAGCCAGAGACTACACATATATATGTGGAAAATGAGGTTGAAGAAGGAGATTCTTCTGAAGCAGAACCAACACATGATAAACAAGAACCAGAGAGTTCTGAAGCTCCAACAACTAGTCAATCAGATCGTGTGAGAAGACGTCTCAATTGCCACTCAGACTATGTTATAGAAGGAAATATTACATATTGTCTTTTAACAGAGGACAGTGAGCCATCAACATTCCAAGAGGCAATAAACAACTCAGATGATTCACTATGGATGATGGCGATGCAAGAATAAATTGAAGCCCTTCATAAAAATAATACATGGGACCTTGTGCCACTACCACAAGGAAGGAAGTTAATTGGTAACAAATGGGTTTTCAAAATCAAGCGAAATGGTGACGATCAAGTGGAGCGGTATTGTGCAAGACTGGTGGTCAAAGGATATGCTCAAAAAGAAGGTATTGATTTCAATGAAATCTTTTCTCATGTGGTTTGACTAACAACAGTTCGAGTAGTTTTGGCAATGTGTGCTATATTGAACTTACATCTAAAGTAGCTAGATGTTAAAAAACTTTTCTTCACAGAAATCTTGAAGAAGAAATTTACATGCTCCAGCCTGAAGGTTTTGAAGAAAAAAAAAAGAAGAACTTTGGTTTGCAGGTTGAACAATTCTCTGTACGGTCTAAAGCAGGCGCCGAGGTGTTGGTATAAGAGATTTGATTCATTCATTATGTGCCTTGGATACAACAGACTTAATTCAGACCCTTGTGCTTATTTCAAGAGGTCTGGTGATAACGATTTTGTTATATTGTTGTTGTATGTGGATGACATGTTGGTTGCAGGACCCAACAAAGATCATATTGAATAATTGAAGGCACAAATGGCTAGGGATCAACAAACAAGATTCTAGGGTGCAAATTCACCGAGACAGAAGTAATAGGAAGATTTGGCTTTCACAAAAGAATTACTTGAAGAAAATCTTGTCACGATTCAACATGCAAGATTGTAAGCCAATTTCTACCCCTCTTCCTATTAACTTCAAATTATCCTCCAGTATGAGTCCTAGCAGTGAAGAATAGAGGATGGAGATGTCTCGAGTGCCGTATGCATCGGCAGTGGGAAGTTTAATGTTCGCTATGATATGCACAAGACCAGACATTGCACAAGTAGTGGGAGTGGTTAGTCGGTACATGGAAAATCCAAGCAAAAAGCATTGGAATACAGTAAAAAGGATTTTGAGATACATCAAAGGGACCTCAAATGTTGCATTATGTTACAGAGGATCAAACTTACTTATCAATGGGTATGTCGATTCTAACTATGCAGGGGATTTGGATAAAAGTAAATCTACTACAGGATATGTGGTTCAAAGTTGCTGGTGGAGCTGTAAGCTGGGTTTCAAAATTGCAGTCAGGTTTGGCTCCATCCACAACAGAGGCAGAATATGTAGCAGCTACACAAGCTAGTAAAGAAGCAATTTGGTTAAAGATGCTATTGGAGGAGCTTGAGCACAATCAAAAGTATGTCTCTCTGTTTTGTGACAGTCAAATCGCCTTACATCTAGCAAGGAATCCAACATTTCATTCAAGGACAAAGCACATACGAGTTCAATATCATTTCATTCGTGAAAAGGTGGAAGAAGGGATGGTAGATATGTAGAAGATCCATACCAAAGACAACATAGCAGATTTCATGACGAAGGCAATCAATGCTGATAAATTTACCTGGTGTCGATCATCTTGTGGCCTGTCAGAAACGTAAAAAACATGATGGTACAAGGTAGAAAGAATGATGTGAATATATGATTGTTCCAATCAAATCTTCAAGTGGGAGATTGTTGAAAATCAAAGTGCACCGAAAGCATGGTGCAAAGTTAAAATTGGTGCACCTAATGCACCGGAAAAAAAGGGTGCATAAATTGTCAAAATACACGGCAATTAGGTGAGTTGAAATTGTTGAAATGAGTAATGGTAAAATCTCAAATTTAGTCATTGTACTTTAGGGTATTTATAAGATTAGTCCTTAAGCTTCAACTATAAATACCCTAGCTCATTTAGCTTCAAAACCATCCCAAAGCATTCTAACTTTCTTCCAATACTAGAGAATTTAGAGAGTTTCTTGAGAGTTATTTTTCTCCTTTTTATCAAGAGATAATTATCATTGTTTTCTCCTTGTTAGATTGAGAGATGTTGTAATTCCTATTTTCTCATAGTGAATTTCTTCTACCGTTGCCCGTGGTTTTTTACCCTATATTATTTAGGGGTTTTCCACGAAAGTTTTGTGTCTCTTTTATCTTCATTTTTTATTTTCTCAAATTATCAGTTGCGATTTTGCTCTATCTGATAGCCGTCTTCCGCAACAGAAACCTCATAATATTAGTTCTGGTGAAGGAGTTATCATGCAGAATTACGTTCCTGAGCTTTTAGAAATTCGCAGAATCTGGATAATTATCACAAAACAATGAGTGTGAATCATCATATATATCGAACAGATACTGAAATAATTGGGTAATTTAAAGGTATGAAATTGTCTCATACCCAACTTTATTGAAGAATCTTGTAGTGTATTCCAACTTAAATCTAATGTCTCTAAGTTTTCAAAAGCAGATAGTTCTGCATTGTGGAAGAGAAAGAAAACAATTATTGTTGTAATCCTATATACATATATATATTGATTAAACTCCTACATGTATACCTCGGGCAGGGAAGGATCCGTTGAAGGAATTGCCACTAAGATTCAAATTCTTAAGCGATTTGAGTTTCCTTAAAGAGTGCAAATGGCTGCTTGTTAGAATGTTATAAGAAATATCCAACGTCTCCAGATGTTGTAGCCTCGACCAACCTTTACACCCAATAAATAAGATATTATGAACCAAAAATTTAAGGATAACGTTGGAAGCATGCATAGGGATGGGTTGAGTTTTTGGCAAACCAAAAACCGACCTGAGCATATTCGATATGAATGTAATGAACATACCTTGGTTTTCTTTCCACGTCATACAATTGTAAGCTAAAATGAGAGTTTTTAGATGTTTAATCGACTGAAATAAACTGTCTTATATTAAGGAGGGAGAGCCTGTGAAGCCATCCGGTGGTGGAGTTGCAGCTAACTCTCTCCCAACCACAGCAATCGCTCCCTGGGTCATCGACCCATGAAGGCAGTACAACTTGCTCTTCACCATTCATCACTTGTATCTTCAGAAACGACTTAAGTTCTAACAGCCCTATCCTCTCTTCTTCAGAACATGCTCTTTGCGCATCAGCTTGAGTGAACAGGATGACCAAATTCACCAGAAATATCAACTTTAGAGAATGCATCTCATTCATTTCATAAACTAAACAAAACTTCGAGGTGATCATTTACATTTAGTTGCCGGTGATGGCCTTTTATATTGTCATGTATAGCTCTTAGCTTGAGCAAGGCCGAACTAGAAATTTATTAAAACGGGGTTAAAGTATTTTATATCTTTCATAAATACACTTTTTCTAATTGAAGAGAGCTTGGTAGATTTTTTTCCGATAATTTTAAATCCTTTCAATTTTAATAAAAAAAATTTATATTGACATTTAATGTTGATATCAAATATAGGATCATTATAACTATTTATAAGTAGACATATATAGTTAGTATAATCAGTTAATAATAATTTTTAGTTCTTCTAAGTCACATAAAATTGTCAAAGATCATATTAAGGGATAACGATTTTTCGAAGAGTACTATTAAACGATTGACATCCCTGTAAAAATATTCTGAAATTTTAGTTACAAAGTAACTCTTCGTAAACCCTAAGATGGGAGGTTTGTCCCTCCAACTATATGACATTGTTTTGTTGAGTCCCTCGACTATTAAAAATTATAAAATGGTTTCTCGACTATAGGACGTTGTTTTGTTTTGTTTAGATCCTATGTTCCAAACTCATTCTTTTCTATTAAAAAAATTGATGATCTTCTGAGCTAGACTTTTAACTGTTGACTTAGATATGATAAAATATGATCCTAGAACTGTTTGAGCTGTATTTTATGGATTAACTCTCCATTTACATTATGTTGTCGAGACAGTGCTTGAACCATTATTATCGTCAAGTCAGTGCTTGAAAGCAACAACGATACTAGTAGATATCATTAAAATATATCATATCTCAATCAGCAGATTAATGTCCAGCTCAGACGGTCGTCAATTTTTACAATAGAAAATGACGAGTTTGGAACATATGAATAGTTGAATGATTATTTTGTAACTTTTAATAGTTGGGGGACTCAACAAAACAACACTCAATAGTCTGGGACCATTTTGTAACATTTAATAATCAGGAGACTCCACAAAGAAACACCATATTAGTAAAGTGACCATTTGTATACTTTACCCTTGTTTTCCCCGCTATTTTTGAGAGTTCCTTTTGGTGCATGTTAAGTTAAAAGTCTAAGTCCATGTATTCCTCTTGAAATTTCAAACTTGTCCTACCAAAGTCAAGCTTTAACTGTTGGGAGCGATGTTTAATGGGAATATGGATTATAGATCACAGTGGGGGAATATTTGTATTTATAACTTTTTATTTAGGAAAGGGAAAACAGAATGTTAATCCTAATGAATATTGAGCACACAATTTAGAAGAGTTGAGAAGTATCAACGGAGAACTTTAAATTCCATATTGTAGGGACTTTTAGCTCCTCTATTATCATTTATTAATACATTCTCCTATATTTTATTTAAAATTAGTTTAGTTTCAACAAATGAACATCAATGCGATGACCTGAAAGACTTGGGTAGATCACATCTCCATTTGACAAAGTCGTATTGATATTTCTTAATAAAACAAAAAATAGAGTGTGAAATGTAAATTAGTTTAGAATAAGTAGCGCAATTCCTGCTCCAATTTTCCACAAATTATCACCTATAGGACGGTTTTGGAGGCTTGGACACTTCACATTCACATTTGCTTACCAGACAAAGAAATGTATTAGGACTTTGACTTTGAATTTTCAAATATATGTGGACCAGCTTTATTATACATCCCCATGGTAGCCTTCACTAGTTCAGTTCATTCATTCTTCTTCTGATCTTACCAGATTTCAGCATGCCAAAATCAACACCACAACCTCCAGTGTTTGGCCTCATGGCCGCCATCGCTTTATTTCTAATCCCGGAAGCTTGCATCGCTCGAGTTGCAAACAGCGATTGCTGTTCTTCGATATGTGGAGACGTTGAAATCAGAAACCCTTTTCGGTTAACAACGCAACCTTCCATGTGCGGTGATCATAGGTTTGAACTGGAATGTGACCGTAAAAACCGCACCAGTTTGCTCATGAAGTATGGCAGATTCAACGTTCGAAACATCACTTATGGAACGAGAGTTACCTATTCGAATATCGGATCCCAAGTCCAAAACATCACTTATGAATCTTACACGATGCAAGCCATCGATGCAAATCTCAGCAAGGATGATAATTGCTCCCTTCCTCGCAGTTCCTTTGGCGTAGATGACTTTTGTACGGTTCCCTATTCATTGGGCTATCCATCTCAAATGATGTTTCTTGTGAACTGCAAGAGACCGATGAAATCTTCTTCGTATATTAATGCCTCTCGTTGCTCCACTAGCTCTTCGCATCCACCTGCTTCCTATTTTTATTTTTTAGATGGGGAAACCCCCGCCACAAAATTCGATGAATCTTGCACGATCGATGCCTTGGTTCCGATTATGGTCAAGAATATCAGCGGCATGTCTACTTCGGACATCTACCAGAACCTATTGCTCGTCTTTGAAATAGATTCTTCTGGACTCCAGTACTGCTACGAGAAGGAAAGGCCTTTTCAATTGATGTAAGAGTTTCCCGCCATTCTCATCACTTACATAAATATTTCATAAAAATACTTCATTTGAGTCTGTCTTGAATCTTGATATGAATTATTGAAATGCAATCCAGGTTAGAATCCTTGCAATATGCCTTGCAAACCTATGCAGATAGCTTCGTGCATTTCTTGTTCAATGGCCCTCATGTATTCCAAAATACGTATTATGCACCTGACAGTATGTTTAATTCCCAGATTACAGTACTATTGATCAATTAACACTTTTGATTCATATTGAAATAATCATATTTTGCAGGTACTAGTGTTTTATGTGTTGGAGTAACAGGTAATTAGCTTTAATTCTGCTATATATTGCACATAACAGGTAACTTTATATCGATCAGATTTTACTAACGCATTCAATTTTACCTATCTTTAAAAGGAGGAGTTATCTTAGCAAGATATTTACTGGGGATATGTTGCTTGCTTGCACTTGTTGCATACAAATGGCGGAGAAGACATTTATCTGCTGATGATACCATTGAAAATTTCCTTAAATGCCAAGGTGATCTAATGCCAATAAGGTACTCTTTTCGCCAGCTAAAACAAATGAGTAGCGCTTTCAAAGAAAAATTAGGTGTAGGTGGCTATGGCTCGGTATAAAAAACTATCCACGAACGCATAACGGGTATCCAAATCTAATCTGATGGTCCAAAGCAAGGAAGATCAACAATATAACAAATAAGCATCATCTTGATCAGTTGTGACGATGTTTAATCAACTCTTAGATAAAGATAAATGAAAATAACGACCAAACAATCGAAAAACGTACCAAAAAACAGAAAAAAATGTCATAAAGTCATAGGAAAACAAACCATACATATAAACTTATTAAAAATAAAAAAAAATAAGTGCAATAAATGATGACTAAGGACTAGATTGGAAAACTGTGTATATATATTATTTTAGCAGATTTTTTTTTTTTAAATCATATATATTATTAAGAACGATTAAAATGTTTAGAACTCACAAAAAAAATCTTGTGTGTATATATATTATTTTAACGGAAAAAAATCTTTAAATTATACATAAACTTTAATTTAATATATAAGATGATAAACGAGTTTTCATTTTATATAACAAGATTTTAATTTTATTTGTTATATTCATAAAAAAATTATGTTTACTAATTACTCAGCATGAGTATATGTAGAACTATGTTTCGATATAACAAATTTAAGGTAAAATGTTTTTGGACTTGAATTGATTTTATTCAAAGTTTTCAAATATTTCAAAAATAATTCAAAATCAATTAAATTTGGATTTGAGAAAAAATATTAAGAGGTATCGATACCCCTATGAATGAGTATCGATACCCCATGAAGGCTCAAATTACAGAATGCAAAATGGGTACTGATACCCCTTTAGAGATACCGATACCCCAAGGCTCCAACGACTAGTAAACATCTAGTTTATTTGAATTTAATGAAGGGGTATCGATACCCCTATTATGGACATCCTTGTTTTGCAGAAAAATAATGCCCAAACAACTCCAAAACATCCCCAACGGCTATATACGACTTCAAACTCATTTCAAGCTATAAATATAAGCTAAGGACACTTAAAGAAGGAAGAGAACACATGTCCAAGCATTCAAACACAAGATAAGAGTTTTTCAATCTTATTTTTCTATTCTCTTGTAAATATTATGTTTTTGTGAGTTTAAATCTTGTAAACACCTAGAGAGGTTTTCTTGTTTACATTTCATTTTGTAAAGGGGTTTTGGTTCTAGCTTAGCCTGTTAAAAGCTAGGGATTGGTTTTAGTTTAGCCATTGAAAAACTAGGAAGTTGTAAAATTTATTTCTTTGTCCTATAAAAAGAAATAACAAATTAGTGAATTTGTTGGAAAATCGTTAATGAGGAGCTAAGGTAGTGGATGTAGACTTGGTTGAGAAGTCGAACAACTATAAATCGTTGTGCAATTTTCTATCTTTCAATCTCCTTACTCCCTAAACACAAAAATCAATTCAACCCCTCTTGGTGAACCCTTTCAGTTGTCGATTCGTGCTTCCGCAAAATCCCAACAGTATAACTATATTAAGCTTTGAATGATAATGATGTCGTCTCAATTGCATCTTACATCCTCAAATTATGACTCTTAGTCTAAATTCGTTTCTAAATATTTAAATGTTTTAATTTCATGCTTAAACTATAAATTTCATTATAAATTAGTCCTTAAACTTTTGAATATTTCATTTTTATCCTCAAACTATAACCTTCATTTAAAATTAATTCTCAAACTTTTTGAACATTTCAATTTCATCTCAAATTATATGTATATACTAATCGCATCCTTTGTTAATAAAATCGTTAGGCCAAGTTATATTATTATATGTTTGAGAAGAAGAAAAATTAGGTTAAATTTTGCTTGAAACTGATTACATATTTGGATGACTTTGGGAATGAAATTGAAAGATTCAAAAGCTTGGGGACCAATTTAGAATGAGAGTCATAGTTTGGGGATGAAATTGGAATGTTCAAAGGTTTAAGGATTAATTTAGAATGAAAGTCATGGTTTAAGGATGAAATGGAATACTCAAAAGTTTAAGGACCAAATTAAAGTAAGGATCTTAGTCTGGGCTTCAACACATTGCATTTTTTACGATGCTAGAAACAAATATTAACAGTCTGATAACTTTCTTTGACATTAGCGCACACTAAGTTGGAAGCATATAAACTCAAAGAAATTAGATTCCAGCAATGGTAGAAGGCTTTACACTTGAATTAAACTTGAATGTACATTATTACATACAATCTAATTGCATATAGCTGTATCATATGTCATATGTCTCTTGCCACAAATTAGCACTAAAGCCATTTTCTGACTGAATTTCGTAACAATTCAAAGCAAAATAATTTCAAAATTGAACCAACTCATCCATAGATATCTCTTCAAACTGATCATCCACACACCAGTTCACGTCATCGCTAGGCGACGAAGGCATCATTTCCATTTCCGACCATTCGGAGCTACCATTGCGTTCAACGTCTCCTACGATACTGCAAGAACCAAGGTTTGCCATTCGAATCTCAGCTTCGAGAGATTCCATTAAACTATTGACTTGCTCCTCGTTGTAGTACTCCTCACAATGTGATTCCTCTAACAACGACATTAAAACAGCAGCATCCATTTCGGGTATTCCGATTTGTTCCATTGCATTGCTTCCATCGATCAATCCTGGGTTTTCCTTTCAACAAGAGAGCCATGATTTGCAGTATTTTTGTTGTAGAACAACAAAAATGTAAAAAACAAACAAAGATAAGCTAAGACTTGAGAAAATGTTTCAAACTTGGATCAATGGAAGCTATAAACCTTCTTATAGGCCAAGTAATTGTTACTTGTTGAGACCCCATGGAACGTGCGGTCATGTGGTCATCCAATAACTAAATAGATGAACAGTTGGACAAATAATATTAATAATAATTGTTTGATAATGGATGGTAGTGCTAGGCAAATACGGGACAAAGAAAGAACATAAAATTAATTTAGAAAGGGTGACAAATCAAAGTTAAGAGTAATTAATTCCCAGTGAAGAAGTTAAGTACATCTTAAGTGATGGATTCCGATTAAGTTGGGAATAGAAAAGTCACCCATTCTGTGAAGCAACAACTGTCCAGGCAGGCACATGTTGCAGCTTACATAACGAAACAATGAGAAGACAATATCTACTTAAAATAAAGTACTATTGCCAACCTGGGTATTTTGGGACTGGTTCTCCACTTGGTTTATTTTTAGTCTTTGAATCTTTACATCAAATAAAAAAAATGAAATCAAATATGGTGAAGTTAACTAAACAAATTTAATTATCGATGTCGAAGTACACGCACATTTAACCCAATAAGAAATGAACGAATAATGGTGAATTATTTTGTTGAAGAGAGACGTTTTCTGGATGGCTAAGATGTAGCCTTGTGGAGCGTGAGCGAAGACATAAAAGACAGAGGAAACAGCAAAGATGATCTGCTAAAAAAACTGCAGCATATATCGTAAACCATAACCCACAATTGTCGAGATTCATGGCCAAGTTCGTAGACCCTTGAATAATACTACATGAAAAGAGGTGAGTTTTTGTCACATGGTGATGTTGGGTGTTGAGGTGGAAATGGACAATCATATAAACAGATTAATCAGCGTTGCATTGCTCCATATTGTTTATCATTCATCTCTTTTAGGTTAAGGGACAATGAATGTATACGTGAACTGCAAAATACGTCTAATGCATGATATTTTGCTTAAGAATCAATCTAAAACTAAATGAATTATCATCGTAACGAGTACTCATAATATAATTGTTTGGTATACTATATATTTATCGATTAATATAAATATGGATATCGCAGAGATTCATTATTCAAGTGACCCTCTAAATTGAAGTTGTTCTATTCACAACGCCATGATTTGACTCTAGACGTTGTTTAAGGAATCTAGAACCTTATATAAAGCATGATATCACTAAATAAAATCTAGAATAGAAGTACAAAAGTTATCTATTACAAAATACAATCAAACTAATAACTGATAAATAAAATCTAGACTAGGAACTCACTCGTAGTGGAACTCAAACCTAAAATATTAAGATTTCCAAACCATACCATTGAGCCAAGATATCGTTGGTCAATTTGTCTAATTAATTAAATAGGTAAACTATATATTTAATCATCCAACTTTTAATATATTTCTTTTTTGATCACTCAATTTTCAAAAATTTTAATTTTATCACTAAACTTTCAAACTCCGCTCTTTTATGACACTTGACTGTTAAGATTCTGATATCATTTTATTTGTTGATAAGTGTATACAAAAAAAAACCCCTAAAACATTTCTTTCAAACCTAGATTTTCAATTTGTATTTGATTTACCGACATTAGAGTATTTTCTTCCAAATATGAACAATGAAAAGGTTAAGAAGGAAAAGAAAAGCATACATCTCGGTTGCACACGGATCAAATGACAGAGATTGCATATTGGAACAAGATAAAAGCAAAACTTTGATTTGATTTTTATCAATTTTGAGAGTAAATTAAGAATAAGAAAGAGGGTTGAAACAGAAATAGTTTGGTACTAATTACATCACAACATGATCAATAGTGGTTGAACAAGTACGAAGAAGGGAGTCAACCTTAGGGAAGAAGGCGACTAAAAGTTTAGGACGATTTAAAAATAAAAGCCCAAAATGCAGAGCTTTAGTGTTGGTGTTACACAGTAATGGTTCGAGTGACAAAAAATAGTGAAATTAAAAGTTCAGTTATAAAATTAAAAGTTTTGAGAGTTGAGTGGTTGAAACAGAAAAATTGTCAGATGACTAAACATATAGTTTCCCCTAATTAAATTTAAATGAGAGTCGTATAAAATAATTTTTTAATGAAATTGGTAACATCATTTTGTATACATTTGAAGGTTTGTTAGATAAATTGAACCTTTATAACTGGGTTTCAAACATGGCACTTTTCTCGGTGCAAGAAACAAATATTAACAATCTGATAACTTTCTTTGATTTTAGCACACACTAATTGGAAGCATATAAACTCAAAGAAATTAGATTCCAGCAATGGTAGAAGGCTTTACACTTGAAATTAAACTTGAATGTATATTATACATACAATCTAATTGTATGTGGCTGTATCATGTGTCTCTTGCCACAAATTAGCACTAAAGCCATTTTCTGACTGAATTTCGTAACAATTCAAAGCAAAATCATTTCCAAACTGAACCAACTCATCCATCGATATCTCTTCAAAGTGATCATCCACACACCAGTTCATATCATCGCTCGGCGACGAAGGCACCATTTCCATTTCCGACCATGCGGAGCTACCGTTGCGTTCAATGACTCCTTCAATACTGCATGAACCACGGTTTGCCATTCGAATCTCAGCTTCTAGAGATTCCATGAAACTATTGATTTGCTCCTCGTTGTAGTACTCCTCACAATGTGATTCCTCGAACAACGACATTAGAACAGCAGCATCCATTTCAGGGATTCCGATTTCTTCCATTGCATTGCTTCCATCGATCAATCCTGGGTTTTCCTTCAACAAGAGAGCCATGATTTGCAGTGTTTTGGTGTAGAACAACAAAAATGAAAATAACAAACAAAGATAAGTTAAGACCTGAGAAAATGTTTCGAACTTGGAATGGTTTAATCAATGGAAGCTATAAACCTTTTTATAGGCCAAGTAGTTGTTACTTGTTGAGACCCCATGGAACGTGCGGTCATGTGGTTATCCATTAATTTAATAGATATCCAATTGGACAAACAATAATAATAATTGATTAATGATGAATGGTTGTGCTAGATAAAGAAAGAACATAAAATTATTTAAAGAAATGGTGACAAATCAAAGTTGGACCGATTAATTTCCACCACATTAATTTAAGCGAAGATATTCCAATTAGGTTAGGAATAGAAAAGTCACCCACTTTGTCAAGCAACAACTTTCCAGTTAGACAATATATATATCAAAGAAACATTAAGTATCATTGCCAACTTGGGGATATTGGGGTTGTTGCTCCACTTGCGTTATCTTTAGTTTTTGCATTTTAAAAAAAATAAAAAAATAAAAATTGATATGGCATATCTATTTTATACTCTCTTTTTTTAAAATAAGATTACGAGAGATACAATTAACTCTATAATAAGAGAAGTGGATGGACAATGCTGTACTATTTTATTCATGAAGAAATATTTTTCACATAGGCAAGATCTAGCTTTGTGGGGTGTGACAAAAGACAAAGTAAACAGCAAGGATGATTTCTTTAAAAAAAAATGTAGCAGACAATTGTACACCATAACCCACCATTGACAAGATTCATTGCTAAGTTAGTAAACCCTTGAATAATACATGAAAGAAGTGAGTTTTTGTCACATGGTCATGTTGGGTGTTGAGGAGGAAAGGGGCAATCATATAAAACTGTATTAAGCAACATTGCATTGGCCCATATTTTTTTATTACCCAACCAACACTTGGGTGCATGTGTTGCCCCCACAAAAAAATGAAGCTGAACATCTCTTTTAGGTTAAGTGACAATGAATGGAACCACACCCATGTGCTCTGATTCTTCCTTTGAAGGACAAGTGGAAATGTCGGTTAAGATTTTTCTTTATATATAAATCAATTCAGGCATTTCATTAGTTTGAAATTAATATTAATTAAGATTACGATCTAGTATAGGGTAAGTCACTAAACCCACTTTGGTATCAGTTTGCTTTTAGTTCTGTAATTTAAAAATTATAATATATCTGACTGAAACTCGTATATGGATTCAAAATAAGTATAAATCCAAACTTCATACTTGTCCATCATGTGAAAACATGAAAAAACCTTTGTAACTTGAAAACAAACTAACTTACAAAAGGTAAAAAAGAAAGACAACTAATGATTGAAAATGGTAGCTAACTTGCGAACAGCATCATGAACAAAGTAATAGCAGCCGTAAATAGAATTCTCAATGAAACAAAACCACCTCCTTCGCCAGTTAGGGTTGAGGTAGAGAACAGCCCCCCAAAGTCCACAAGACCACACAGTACGTTGTAACAAAACTTTCAAAGAATTACGATCCATTGCATACCATTTTTCTTTAGCTTCACCCGATGGCAATGTCGTGTGGTTTTTCCCTGATGGTAGGTCCAGAAAGGAATGGAATTCCTTCATAACTGCTGATGCCGAATGTCGCGAACTGGCCTTTGTCTGGAACTCTGCCCGATAAATTGTTGTGCGACACACTGAAGACTTCCAAGAAGTTAAGCTTGACCAACTTTGATGGGATTTTTCCACTTAGATTGTTGTAAGACAAATCCATATTCTCAATTTCAGAGAGATTCGAGAACGAACCCAAAATCTGCCCTGTCAGATGATTGTGGAATAAGTTGAGTCCATGAAGGGATGACAGCTTCCCAAGACTATTGAGGAATTTCACCTGTCAGATTGTTACATGACAAATCTAATCCAGACATGTTATTCAGAATGTTTCCTTTGTAAGAAAAGACACTATTTTTAGTGACAAAGTCTATCTTACACCCATACTTGGCATCTATCTCAGAAATATTCCAGAAATTGATGAAGTCATAAAGTTCTTGAAGGAGATTGTGAACATCCACAGTTCTAGACTCATCAGAAAATGTAAATTCTTCAAAGAAATAATTTGAATCACTTCCAAATGGTAAATCACTCAAGCAGCTTGGTATTGGACCAGAAAAGGAGTTGTTGGAAAGATCCAATATGCTTATCTCTGTTAATTGACACAGTTGTCTTGGAATCAAGACATCGAAAAGATTATTTCCTAACAAAAATTTGTAAGTGAAGAAGTGGACCAAGTTGGGAAGGAACGTTTCCAGACAATCTATTATCTCCAAGGTTTAACAAAAAACAGGTGAATAATCTTGAAAATTCTCGATCAAGCAAGACGGTATTGGTCCCGACAGCAAGTAATGAGAAATATCAATGACTTGCGCTTCATAGAATCCTTCACGTGGAAATTGGCCTTCAAGAGAATTGTTCTGCAATAAAAGGAACTTAGCATCTATTCCATTAGGAATCTCCCCAGCCATGTTGTTGTTGCTAACATCTAAGAGTTTCATGGAACTATAGAATTCCTTCTTTGTTAACAGACTTCCGGCGAACTTATTGTTCCCCAGTCTCAACACTTGTACTCCACTCAAGTTAAAGTGAGTGGAAAAAAATTCACCATTAAAATTGTTGTTGTTTAACATCAAACCAACTAGATCAATGCAATTTTCTACAAATTCCTGTGGAATTCCCCTGATAAATTATTGAAGGATAAATCCAACAATGACAACTTCCTCATGACACCAACCGAGGATGGGAGCTCGCCTTCGAACAAGTTACAGGATGGGAGTCCAAGATCCATTGGAAGAAGCCCTTCAATACGATTGTGTGATACATCCATATAAACCATACCACTCATAGGATTCTCCGGAAAAGGGTCGAGATTCCCAATAAACAAATTATTCCTAAGGTTCAGAAACTTTAGATCAGTGTTATTTTCAGGCAACCAGAAAGACAAGGCTCCGCTCAACCTATTGTGCGAGATATCAACCCATATTAACCGATGCTGGTTTAGCAAAAACCGAGGAGCATTCTTCATGTTACAATTCGAAAGCTGCAATGCCTTTAGTTGAAACAACGGAATCCCAACTTGTTCATCATTATCAATCTGTAGTTTGTTTTCTCTGCTCCCAAGTACGATTACCTCAAGCTTGGAGTGATTGAATATCGAGCTAAAAGAGAACGAACCTTCAAATCAATACTGCTAATATCCATGAACTGAAGAAACGTTAGGCTTGGTATTGAATATGGGGTAATGGAACCGCTGAAGAGGTTATGATGCAGATCAAGAATCTTAAGAGATGTCAAATTGCTTAGACAAGGAGGAAGAGTTCCTTCAAATCTATTATGAAAAATATCTAACACTTGAAGTCTCTTCAATTCACACAACCCTGGCAGAAGGAGAAATTAAAATTGTTTCCATCATTTACAAGAAAAAATAATAATTTCATCTCAACTTAGTTATACTCTTACCTGGGGACGGCAAAGAGCCATTGAAATCATTATTTGCCAAATACAGAGCTTTAAGATAGTATAGCTTCCCAATATTTTGAGGAATACCCCCTTCCATTAAATTATAGAGTAAATCTAATATCTCCAATCTTCCCAATGTTATCAAATCTACGGACAAAGAAAAGATAATGCAAGTTTCATAAGATAATGTAAGAAAAGATAGTAAAATTTGAGTAAAAAAGCTATTCAGAAATTTAAAAAAAGAAAAGGAATTTGCATGTTTACCTACCTTGATTCGACAGAGTGCCTCGCATAAAATGTCGGAAAGGTCAAGAGACTTAAGCGACGTTAGTGAGCCCAGAAACCTGTTGAAAAGTCAATGGGGGCCAACTTGGACAAAAAAACTTCCAAAATACATGGTGGTGGCTTTCGGTGCATTAATGCACCGAAATTATACAACTTGCAATTGTTGATTTTTTAGTAAAGGTATAATCACAATTTAGTCATTGTACTTTAGGGTATTTATAAGATTAGTCCTTAATATTCAACTATAAAAACCCTAGCTCATTTAGTTTCAAAACCATCCCAAATCATTCTAGCTTTCTCCCAATACCAGAGAATTTAGAGAGTTTCTTGAGAGTTGTTTTCTCCTTTTTTATTAAGAGAGAATTATCATTGTTTTCTCCTTGGTAGATCGAGAGAAGTTGTAATTCATATTTTTCTCATAGTGAAATTCTTCTACCGTTGCCCGTGTTTTTTACCCTATATTATTTAGGGGTTTTCCACATAAATTTTGTGTCTCTTTTATCTTCATTTTTTTATTTTCTCAAATTATCAGTTGCGATTTTGCTCTATCTGATAGTCGTCTTCCGCAATAATTGGTATTAGAGCTAGATTTGAGTGTGTAATATATGTTTATTATCTTTGTTGTTGCCACCAAAAGGTAGATCCTCCAATATAAGAAAGTAAGAAGGTATTACCCATTTTTTGAAGGTTCCTGATAACTATTCACGATAGTGAAATAGTGAGAGCTATCCGTAATAAAAGCTATGGCAACGAAATTTGATATTGAAAAATTCAATGGGAGAAATTTCTCATTGTGGAAATTGAAGATGAAGGTCATCCTGAGGAAAATGATTGTCTATCAACTATCAGTGAAAGGCCGGTGGATTTCACAGATGACAACAAATGGATCGAAATGGACGGAATGCTATGGCAAACTTTCATCTAGCATTAACAGATGAAGTATTGTCAAGCATTGAGGAGAAGAAGACAGCTAAGGAGATATGTGATCATCTCACCAAACTGTACGAGGCCACATCGCTGCACAATAAAATTTTCCTTAAGAGAAAATTTTACACTCTCCGTATGCCAGAATCTACTTTAGTGACGGAGCACTTAAACACACTGAACACTTTATTTTCTCAGCTTACATCCTTAAGATGTACAATAGGAGAACAAGAACGGGCTGAACTTCTACTTCAAAGTCTACCTGATTCGTATGATCAACTCATCATCAACTTGACAAACAGTAATGTCACCAGTCTAGTCTTCGATGACGTTACAGCTGTTGTTCTACAAGAAGAAAATCGGTGCAAGAACAAGGAAGACAGACAAGTAAATCTGCAATAAGCAGAATCGTTGATAACGATAAGAGGGAGATCAACAGAATGTGGCCAAAGTAGCAGTCACAAACATGGTAGATCGAAGTCAAGAAGCAAAAAGAATTTAAAGTGCTACAACTGTGGAAAGAATGGTCACTTGAAGAAGGATTGTTGGAGTCTAAATAGAAACTTAAATCCACAAGGCAATACCGCAGACACTTCATATGATGTAGATGCTCTATGTTGTGAAGCGTCAACCACCGTGGAAGGCAGAAAAAGATTTGCAGATATATGGCTCATTGATTCGGGAGTGACATATCACATGACCTCAAGAAGAGAATGGTTCCATCATTATGAACCTGTCTCAAGAGGATCTGTGTATAGTTGCAATGATCATGTCTTAGAGATCGTTGGTGTGAGAACCATCAAATTGAAGATGTATGACGGAACAATTAAAGTTGTTCGAAATGTGCAGCACGTGAAAGGCCTGAAGAAAATTTTATTATCCTACGGATTGTTGGATAATAATGCAAGCAAGATTGAAACACGAAAATGTATCACTTACTTTGTGTGAGCATTGCATAACAAGTAAATAACACCGGTTGAAATTCAACACATCAAATTCTAGAGGCAAAAGTGTTCTAGAATTGGTTCACTCTGGCGTATGGCAAGCACCAGTTACATCCCTAGGTGGAGCAAAATATTTTTTATCATTTATTGATGACTACTCCAGGAGATGTTGGGTGTACCCTATTAAGAAGAAGTCTGACGTGTTTTCAACTTTCAAAAACTTCAAAGCGCGGGTGGAACTTGATTCTGTAAATAAGATCAAGTGTTTCAGAACAGATAATGGAGGAGAATACACAAGTGAAGAATTTGATGATTTTTGCAGGAAAGAAGGCATCAAAAGACAGTTCACAGTGGCGAACACTCCTCACCAAAATGGAGTGGCAGAGCGGATGAACAGAACCTTGTTAGAAAGAACAAGAGCAATGTTGAGGGATGCATGCCTAGAAAAATCATTATGGGCAGGAGCAGTCAATACCGCCTGTTATTTGGTGAATCGAACTCCATCAACTACAATAGAGCTAAAGACACCAATGGAGATGTGGACTGGTAAACCAGCTGATTATTCAAACCTCAATGTATTTGGAAGTATTGTGTACGTGATGTATAACTCCCAAGAAATTTCAAACTGGATCCAAAATCCATGAAATGCAAATTCTTGGGGTATGCTGATAGTGTAAAGGTGTATCGCTTGTGGGATCCCACTGTTCATAAAGTGATCATCAGCAGGGATGTTATCTTTGTAGAAGATACACTACGAAGAAAAGAAGTCGATGATAGTGCTGAAAAGTCAGAGACTACACAGATACATGTGGAAAAGGAGGTTGAACAATGAGATTTTTCTGAAGCAGAACCAGCACATGATAAACAAGAACCAGAGACTTCTGAAGCTCCAACAACTCGTCAATCAGATCGTGTGAGAAGACGTCCCAATTGACACTCAGATTATGTTATAGAATGTAATATTGCATACTGCCTTTTAACAGAGAACGGTGAGCCATCAACATACCAGGAGGTAATAAACAACTCAGATGCTTCACTATGGATGATGGCGATGCAAGAAGAAATTAAAGCCTTTCATAAAAATAATACATGGGACCTTGTGCCACTACCACAGGGAAGGAAGCCAATTGGTAACAAATGAAATTTTTTTTCCTGTGGTTCGATTAACAACAGTTCGAGTAGTCTTGGCAATTTGTGCTACATTGAACTTACATCTAGAGCAGCTAGATGTTAAAACAACTTTTCTTCTCGAAAATCTTGAAGAAGAGATTTACATGCTCCATCCTGAAAGTTTTGAAGAAGACGAAAAGAAGAACTTGGTTTGCAGGTTGAACAACTCTCTATACGATCTAAAGCAAGCGCCGAGGTGTTGGTATAAGAGATTTGATTCCTTCATTATGTGCCTTGGATACAACAGACTTAATGCAGACCCTTGTGCTTATTTCAAAAGGTCTGGTGATAACGAATTTGTTATATTGTTGTTGTATGTGGATGACATGTTGGTTGCAGGACCCAATAAAGATCATATTGAAGAATTGAAGGCACAATTAGCTAGGGAATTTGAAATGAAGGACTTGGGATCAGCAAACAAGATTCTAGGGATGCAAAATCACCGAGACAGAAGTAATAGGAAGATTTGGCTTTCACAAAAGAATTACTTGAATAATATCTTGTCAAGATTCAACATGCAAGATTGTAAGCCAATTTCTACCCCTCTTCCTATTAACTTCAAATTATCCTCTATTATGTGTCCTAGCAATGAAGAAGATAGGATGGAGATGTCTCGAGTACCGTATGCTTCGGCAGTGGGAAGTTTAATGTTCGTTATGATATGTACAAGACCAGACATTGCATAAGTAGTGTAAGTAGTTAGTCAGTACATGGCGAATCCAGGAAAAGAGCATTGGAATACAGTAAAGATGATCTTGAGATACATCAAAGGGACCTCAAATGTTGCATTATGTTACGGAGGATCAAATTTACTTATCAATGGGTATGTTGATTCTGACTATACAGGGGATTTGGATAAAAGCAAATCTACTACAGGATATGTGTTCAAAATTACTGGTGGAGCTGTAAGTTGGGTGTCAAAATTTTAGTCAGTTGTGGCTACATCCACAATAAAAGCAGAATATGTAGCAGCTACACAAGCCAGTAAAGATGTAATTTGGTTGAAGATGTTAATGGAGGAGCTTAGGCACAATCAAGAGTATGTCACTCTGTTTTGTGACAGTCAAAGCGCCTTGCATCTAGCAAGGAATCCAACATTTCATTCAAGAACAAAGCACATACGAGTGTAGTACCATTTTATTCGTGAGAAGGTGGAATAAGGGACGGTAGATATGAAGAAGATCCATATCAAAGACAACATAGCAGATTTCATGACGAAGGCGATCAATGTTGATAAACTTACTTGGTGTCGATCTTCTTGTGGCCTGTTAGAGACGTAAGCAACATGATGGTACAAGGTAGAAAGAATGGTGTGAAGATATGATTGTTCCAATCAAATCTTCAAGTTGGAGATTTTTGAAAAGTTAATGGGGCCAACTTGGCAAAAAAAATTCCAAAATATATGGTGGTGGCTTTCGGTGCATTAATGCACCGAAATTATACAGCTTGCAATTGTTGATTTTTAGTAAAGGATAATCACAATTTAGTCATTGTACTTTAGGGTATTTATAAGATTAGTCCTTAAGCTTCAACTATAAATACCCTAGCTCATTTAGCTTCAAAACCTTCCCAAATCATTCTAGCTTTCTCCCAATACTAGAGAATTTAGAGAGTTTCTTGAGAGTTGTTTTCTCCTTCTTTATCAAGAGAGAATTATCATTGTTTTCTCCTTGGTAGATCGAGAGAAGTTGTAATTCATATTTCTCATAGTGAAATTCTTCTACCGTTGCCTGTGGTTTTTACCCTATATTATTTAGGGGTTTTCCACGTAAATTTTGTGTCTTTTTATCTTCATTTTTTCTCAATTATCAGTTGCGATTTTACTCTATCCGATAGCCATCTTCCGTAACAAAACCTCATAATATTAGTACCGGTGAAGGAGTTGTCATGCAGAATTACATTCCTGAGCTTTGAGAAATTCGCAGAATCTGGATAATTATCACAAAGCAATGAGTGTGAATCATCATATATATCGAACAGATACTGAAATCA